AAGCTTTTCAGTTAAAGATCAAGATCTTTTGAATGATTTGACAGAGATTTGAGGGTCAAGATTAGGAAGAATGCAGATTACTCCTGCTACATCATTTCCATGGTACCGGTTTAAAGAAAACGAGTTTGTGCCTTTTCTTTAAGAAAGTTTTGTCTCAATATTACTGGAGCGACGACAAAATTCTATATCAAATACGAAAGAGATGATTGATTGATCAGCTCCCATTAATATTTCTATATACCAAGGTTTGAAATCGGTAATTATTTTTTCCACGAAATCATGCAATAATTATTATTTCTTTGATTAATTTTTAATTTAAAAATAATGCCTTATAACATAACATAAAAATTTAAATTGATTCGATTAAAAATAATGATCACATAAATAATTATGATTAATTGAGATAAAACAAATTTTGATCAGAAAATAAAAATCACATTAAACACAAATTAAATTAAATATTAGTATGTATGTATACGTTATTAATGTAAATATTTTTCAATATTATATTATTGAAATTGCTTTAATAAAGTACGGAGTATCTCTATCTTATGTAAAGCAAAATTTCTAATGAATTTCGGAAATAAAGATGTTCTGTTGCTAATACTTGACAACAATATTCTTCACCTACTATTATAGACACAAAATAGATCATAGAAATTACAAAAAAAAATTACTCAAGAATTATTATTATTGTTAATTGTAAAAAATTTGTTCATAAAGAATGATCGAGATATGACTTTTACCACTTATGGTCAAAAATAAAAATAGCTCTAAAAATTTTGATCAAATTTTATTTTTATTATTTTTTTAATCATTGATTTTAAACCTGGAATATTCTACATTGTGTATTTGATCAACATACTTCTATGTCATTCAGAAGTTTAATTCAATTGAAAAAAAAATGATATGAATTACAATCTAAAAAAGTTAAGATTTTCTTCATTTTACTTTAAAGTCATACCTCTCATTTTGAAGGCACACAATCTTTGTGGGAAAAAAATCTGATGTGTCCACTCACACGATTTTCTTATCTATTTCAGAAAAGTTTTTATATATTTACATATCAAGAAAAAAAACAACATTGAATTAGATTTATTTTCCTGAAAATTGATCAAAGGAAAAATTTGAGTACGATTTATTTGCTAAACATTTGTAGAAAATAAAATAAGCTGTATCATCGCTAATACTGGTTCGATTCCGATGATTTTTTTTTTGTTTTTTAGGTAATTTAATTAAAATTCAAAAGTGTAATTATAAATTTTACCATAGAATATATACTTGGCTAGGCCCCAAAACATTTTTCATTTCTTTATAACTTTTTTTCTTAATTATCTTGGGAATTTAGTCCATATACGAAAATTTAAAGAAGAATTATTGAAACATTATCGGAAAGTTTCATCAAAATCACTAGAGGATTTTTCGCGCTACAGTCATCAGAAAAAAACAAGATTTTCATTTACTGCGCAGCAGCTATTACGCATGGAGCACCCAATTTGTGTCACAGGCATCAGTATTCATAATCCTACAAAATAAAAAAGAACTCTACAAAATCAGTTCACTAGTTCCCGAGAAAATCTTGGGACAGACAGACAGACCAATGGCTAAAAATGTGTTTTTCAGACTCAAGAATCTGTGGAACGTATAGATCCGTCAAAAATCGCATATCGGAAATTTGACCGGACCGCAATAGTTTCCTTACCTTGCATAGGTAGGAAAGTAAAAATACAGGTATTAAAAATTTGATTAAACTTTTATAAAATGTTTGCTGTTATTGCCATAGATATGTCTAAAGAATAATATTAATATTTGAATAGAATTGAATAATATTTTTTCTTTAAATTGTTTGTATTATATTTGATTTATTTTGAAGATTTATATTTTATATTCTTAATCCACAAATGATAATTTTATTTATTGTTTGGTTAAAGGCAATAACATCAGTTGCTTGATTTTCCCCTCTTTTTTTTCTAAATATTCAACAAGTTAATTGGAGAATGCAAGGTTTAACTGATGGTACCTGATATATGTACTGCCCAATAACTAAAAATAACATTCTGAAAAGTTCTTAAAGTGACAGACTAATTTAAGTCTTCCTTTTACTAGCCTTATGACTCTCGTTTCTGTATTAATATCCCTTTCCTAGACTAATGACAGAGTGTTTCTATTGGACGGGACATTCTACAACTGTAGGAAAAGCTTTGCTAGCCTAATGATTGTTTGGTCCTAGTTTAATAATTTATGTATAAACACCATGAGTTGTGGAACCTAAATTTTAAAATAAATGATACAAATATAATCACGATATACCACCATTGCATCTACTATAGTTTTTTATCTTATTTTATTGAGAGAAAATACATTTTGCCTCAATCGAGGGCATTGAGTATTAAAAATGTGAGAAACTCATTCATACAATATATAAATGATTCATTTCATTTATATATTGTATGATTTCATATGAATATCTATTGTATTCATACAATACAATTACAAAAATAATATAAATTATAACAAAAATAAGAAAAAGAAAACTTAGTAAAACAAATGAAATAAAATATGATACAACATAAATTTAAAAAAAAATGGATAAATAAGAAAAAAAACATCCATGCTTATTTACAATATTTACTATAAAATAGAATTGAAAGTAACTATGGTAATAACTGCCTTTAAAGAAGAACGTTATGCAACACTTCGTTTATTAGTACCCATGAATGTTTTTATGATTGTTTATGCACCATACTCTGATTGAAGTTTTCAAAATAAATGGATTACATTTTCGTTTTAATGTAAACAACTATGTTTTTAATAGCATTTTTCAGTAAAAATACAAGTAAGCAATAGCTTTTTCCAAAACACTAAATACATGAAGTTAAAGTTTATTATGAATTGAGATAGTGGATCTAACTATAACAACTAACATCTAAATTATTGAAGCTAATAATTGCCATATTATATTAGTTTCTTGAATATGTGTATATCTTTTTATAATAATTGTATTATAATTTTAAATGATAAATTTTCTTAGATTAATTTCTGTCATTACTATTTTTTATTTATTATTCTATGCGCTATAATGATAATACTGAGCAAATAACCCTTTTCAAATTTAGTTTTATTTTTTCAATTTAAATTGAAACTAATCTGCTTGCGATGAACTGTTGAAAATATATATCCATTTTTAACAAGCCTTTTCCTTAACCGTCCATCAAAAAAAAAAAAAAAAAAAATGGTCATTGGATCTGACCTTCAGAAATAATTTTAATAGAACCAATGGGTCGAATGTGGCGCGAATTACGTAAAATATATCCAACCAAAAACCAAAAAAAATTAAACATTTCTAATATGTTTAATAGCCCAGAATCCCTGAAAAATATATATTTCAAAAGTTAGTATTTTTCATAGGCTACTAAATCAAATACATATGTAACAAATGGCATGTTTCTTCAATTCTTTTTTCGTGAGCAAATACCAATACATATGTTGTTAAGCCAAACAAAAACAAAAAAAGTTAAGACACTAAAATCTAAAAAGTTTAAGAGTGCCAGCAAAAAGAAAGATATTACTATATCTATATATAACTTTCATGTTGTCGTAGTCAATATAACTGAATATTAAATATTTTGTATATTGTTACACAATATACAAATAACAATATTTAGTTGTTGTTATCAATTTACTTACTTTATTTTTTTTATATTTCTTTTTCTTTATTATTGATATCAATTGTATGTACATATTGTGTGAATGAATCATGTAGCCTTAATATTAATGCCCTTCAATGTGGCAGAATGTATTAATATTCAATAAAGAAAGTTAAAAAAGTTGTTGTTATAACTGAATATTTTTCAAGTTTTGTTGAAAGTCTAGTCGTGTAGATAATGTGACATCTAGAATATATATATTTTTTTTCCATTTTCCTACATCATTATACATTCACATTACTCTAAATTAGTTATTATCACTCATCCATCACTATCTATCATTATTAACTATTATCCGTTGTATAATATTATATCTCTGATTTTATAAAACCGTTCAGCCCTGAAGACTTACAAGCTTGGTTTGGCACGCCTCATATATATAAATCTTTATAAATCTTTATATATATATATATATATATATATATATATATATATATATATATATATATATATATATATATATATAATAAACTAATGAATGTTCATTTCTTCTGTTTATTGACGTTTCGATCCCGGTATTTTCTTTTTATTAGTCAACCATGGGATCCTCTTCAAAGCTAGAACTATAAATAGCTCAATCGGTACACAATATTACTTCCATATGACTTTAATAACAATTATTTCAAAATGTTTAACCTACTTTTAAAAAATAGAGCTTCGATCAGGCCAGAGACACACCGACAGTCTCAGCACCGTCCACTAGCATATATATTAAGCTACTGGATCGCTAAGCGTCTCTTCAGAAATGAACATTCATTAGTTTATTAAATAATAATTAAGTGACCTTATTCCCAATTAAATAGTGAAGTTTAAATTTAATACTCAAAGGTCGATTAAGGAAAAGTTGTAAATATATATATATATATATATTTATATATATATATATATATATATATATATATATATATATATATATAAAATAAAAAATTATATCCAAGACTTTTTCTTGGGAAGTCCGTCGCCCCAACCAGAATGGAAAGTTAGCGCTTATTGTATATATTATGATAAAGTTGTATTTTGGAGTGGTTTCTATCCTATCAGACGACTTTACTTTAGTATTTTGCGAAATTCATATGCATTCAAATGGAAATAATAATTCAATACGTAGAAAAGACATTTCCAATCGCCGGATTGGACACTTGAAAAGAGAAACCGTAATTAATAATCGGTTTAGAATAGTGAGTACCTCATTGTTTCAAATGGGGCATTAGCTAGAACTCAATTCTCCATGCTGTCCATGTAAATTAGCATTAATGTCCTGACATTATGTTAAAGCATAGGTGTCAATGCCACATGCCTTTATACCCCAGCTGTTGCATTCATATACATGCAAATCCCAATGTTGATACCGCGCCCTTGAGGGACAACGCCTTAAAGACAACTATTAGAATTGAAAAGGCAATTGCAGATCTATGGCGGATAATTGGGAATGAGGTTGCTGTAACCGTCGGTACTAGGTTGCATAAGGTAAGACATATATCACTGTAGAGCACTTGTCATATACCATACAATGTTCATTAATTATAATTTATACTTATTCATTCCTGTGTCAAAGTTGGAGACGGATAGTCAAAACTGCAGGCGATTGCATTCGAAGCTTAGTCAAGAAAGTCATTTGAAATTATTTCTGTCTGAATTAGAACAATCAAAATAGAACTGAGGTGCAACAATGATTAATTCTTTGAATGACATTTAAATAAATTTCAAATTACTACCAGAATAATTAGTTTCCACGTAATGAATATAGATATTCATTACGGCTAGGAAAAAACGTTTCTCAACATTTCTGTTCGATTTAACATAGCTTTTAATATTGAAGTTAAACTTATTTGACACTCACGTATCCGTCCTTTTATTATCAATAAAAATAAAAAAACTGAATTCTGTAACTGCCTTTTCCTCATTGGCCATCTAGCCTCAGCTTTAATCTTCACTCCAGGATATCTCTGGAAAAGCATTTGTTATTAAAGTTTAATTACTTCATTGCCTTTCAACTTTGAAGTGTATACTTTCATTCTTTGCCATTTATAAAAAAATGTAATATAGGTTTCACAAGCGATACTAGTCTGGCACAAAAAATCTCTTTTAGTTTGAAATCTCGCATAGATAGGCAAGAGTTTTTTTTTCATGTTATAAAGTTCAGTCATCCTCATAAACATACGACTAATAGTCCCGTGGTACAGACCCCTTTTTATCAAATCATTAATATCCGGCTGAAACTTCGTAAATAGCTTCATCTCATCGTAACCTAGAAATATTTTATTTACGAAAATTCTCGGAATTGGGGCGTTTTCTATCTGGAGGTCGGCAAACTTTGTCTGTTTAATTAGGTACTAAAAACTCGTAAGTATGCATTTGGTTTCCACTTCAATCGCAAGATAACTTGAGCACAAAGTCATAAAAAAACTGCCCTTCTAAAATATTGAGTCGTTTGGCCTATAAAACCTAGTTATTTTGGGGGCGTAGATCACGCCAAAAGGCTCGATATTGTTGAAGGCCATCTTTTTTCTTGACTTTATGCTCAAGTTACCTTAGGATTCAAGTGGAAAGCAAATGGTTATTTATGAGTTCTTAGTACCTAATTAAATGAACAAAGTTTACCGACCTCTAGATTGAAAACGCCCCAATTTCAAGAATTTTCGTAAATAAAATGTTTTTAGGTTACGATGAGAAAAAAGTTGAACAATAGAATACAAAAAGTCCACGAAACAAAAGTCTCTAAAATTGAAATATTGGAACCTGAAATAATATCTAATACAATTAATACTTTTATTCAGTCTATATATCCCTAAAACTTATCGAATATGATCAGATTATTTCTACTTCTTTGTCGGACTTATTAGTGGATGGAATTAAATGCAATAAATTAAACCCATCTAATAATTTTTTATTACATTTATCTAAATTATTTTTAAATTAAAAAATAATTTATTTATCGTACGGAATTATCTATTTTCCCCAAATGGTTCCCCCAACCCTCACACCATTAAGGTTTTAAATTTTTCAAAATTCTACAAATCTAAAAGTTTTTATGATGGCTAATTCTGACAACCGCTTCTCTGACATTTTAATAACAAATTTACACCATTTTATTTTTTTGTTTTTTTTGGGGAGGGGAGGGGATAACGTAGCAGCACTAAGTACGTACATGCGTCTATTTATGAACGAAAATAGAAGTAAAAATGTTAAATATTAACATCTTTTGAATCGGTATACAGCATTAGTATATGTGTTAGTATGGTTTGATGATTATGATTATGCGTTAGTAGATAATTCGTATGTGATGTCTCTTAAAACTCTGAAACGCGTTTATCCTAATTTAATTTTTTGTTTCTATCCGTCAATTAAAGCGTTCATGAGTCCTCAATATTTTCACTGACGTCAACATGAATAAAGTTGTTATAAAGTGAAATTACTGCTGTTCCAACCCATTTAAATGATTTTTAGATAGTAATCCTTTATAAGCTATAAAAAAAATGAAAACTTATCAAACGTTTCTAATATGTTTAGGGGGTGTCCGGATTCGGCCATAACGTGTAGCCTATAGACCCCTAATTTCCAGAAAATTCTTTTTTTTTTTTAAATTGTATTTTTCGATGGCTTCTAATTCAAATATAAATAACCAATTCCATGTTGCTTCAATTTTTTTTTCATGACCGAACACCAATACATATGTTGTCAAAGTTAAATGAAACTATTATCAAGATATATCCAGGAAAACATTTTCAAATAACCTGTTTCCCATGTACTTTTATCTCTGACACAACCGTGACATACGGAAATGTATTAACTTACTTAGAAAAATATTTATTCTGCGCTAATTAGACCTTTCTGAGCCTGAAAACGTATTTTTTTTTTCATCATCACATGACAAAAAAAAAAATATATAAAAACAGAATATAAAACATTTGAATGAATTTGTATTCACCTTCTTTTGTGGGCGAACTTGCATAAAACAAGGAAGACTACTTGAACAGTAGTCGTTACACGAGGCTTAGATAAAGTGAATAACCTTTTATCTCATCAATTAGTCGGAAAAAGAGCGAGTTAGATTAAAGAAGGGTGCGCACGTGCGGGGAGGAGGGACGGCGGAGGAGATTAGTAGTAAACAGAAAATAAAGGATAGGGCTGAAGGCGGCTGCCCTGGGGGACGCCTGCGAAAATTAGATGAAACAAATTTAAGACAACTCTTCTTCTCTACCTCAACTCTTTCATTTAACTTCATCTTCACATCCAACACCCAACCGCTAACCCTTTTTGTTTCCTCTTGCCTTCGGCTATACTTAACGCTTCTACTTTCTCCTTCTTGTTCGGCATTAGAAATAATTAACATACACATAACGCCTGCACAGCTGAAGCGCTGATATTGCAAGTACACGATTTTCGTTAGCATATTTATAAGCAATAACAGATGTACAGAAAATTATAATAAACTCCAGGAAATAATTTGTTTTCTTTTTCCCATGTGTAAAAACAACCATACATCAAAATATAATAATACACCCTGCAATTTTACGCTTCTAAGAAATTTTTTATTTTTTTTATTTGACCTACTGGCAAAGTTATGTAGAAGGGATGGCATGTAATAAAGAAAATTCAAATGTGCATTAATGTAAATAATTTTTTTTTTTTAGTAACAAATATATTATTTCATTACAGACCACTCATTTTGTTTTTTTATTTATCATTTATTTCTTTAATATATATACTTAATGGTTTTAATTTATTTACTGAAATCTATCTTTTGGATTTTCTATTGAATTTTGAGGTTCGTAAACATTTTTTTATTTATACCATATTCTATTCCGTATTTATTATATATGGTGGTATGATCTCTTTTCTTTATTACCATGTAAAAAAAGGAAAAATATTTTTTTAAAAAATATAGTCTAACGAGTTATTAAAAAATTAACAATTTTATATTTTAAGGGACTCCACCTGGACAAACGTCTCATTTGGAACCCTTATACAAGACCGAAACAACAAGAAACAGCTATACGTTTCCGTTTACGCCAACACTTACTGGACAAACACTCTAAACTTGCAATTAATTACAAAAGATTCATATACATTACTGTAAGACCTATTTGGACTTAGGGAGTTGAGCTATGGGGCTCCACTAAAACATCAAATTCCTCTCGTGCCCAATCCTTACTTTGTCACAAATAAAATAATTCATAAAGACCTTAATGTTCCATGTTTTTTATGATTTGGCCCAATCCAGATACCTATCCTTCCATAATAAACTTCATAACCATCCAAATCCTCTTGTTTCTAAACTTGCTTCCTCTTCGATTCCTGATAACCCTCCGAGGTATCTGAAAAGAAGATGGCCTCGTTATCACCTCATATATACATATTATTAGAGTACTATCAACAAGCGTTTTCATGTGACTATATTTTCCTTTACACAATTACTTGATGCATTTATACTAATACAGTTATTATTATGTCATAATAAAAATTAAAACAAAAAAATAAATATTTTAAGGGGATCTAAAAATGTACTAAATGTGTATACATTGCCTCAAAATTTGTTTGAATAATACTCACAAAACCTTGATGATATAAAACTTGGTTCATTTTTTTTATTCCTCTTCGGACAATACAATTATAACTTAATGATGTTAAGACCATTTTTCGGAAACAAAATTGATAATATAGATGCATGATATACGATTGGAAAGTTAAAATTTTTAATTTTCGTTATTAATAATTCATACATTTGTATTCTTTAATAGGGAATAATTGTTTTCATTGAGATTAAATGGAATTTACATAAAACATATATGGGATTCTATTATTTTCCTCTTGATAAATCAAAATATATTACCCAAAATCGACAATAATATTTTTAATTGTTTAAGTATTTAAATTATGTAACCCGTAGGCAAACATCACCATCTCCACTTTTGTGTTTGTTCAGGAGAGCCAATGTTCCATAATTTTGAGCTATCTAAATTTGATTCTTTGTTACTAAATCCGGAGGTAAACTACACCACGTCAAACTTTGACCAATTACTTTACCTCCGTGGCACAGCATTATAACTCAAGATATATATGTATATTTATTTTTGCACTTCACATTACTGTACTTAAATCATAGTACTGAGTTTCAAACGATTAAAATAAATGACATAGCGCTCAATCATTTTTGAAATTTAAAACGATTTCTATTGGAAGAAAAATAATAAAGTTTGCCAAAATCAACTATATTAAATATTATAACTCTTTGTTTTGAAATCATACAATATCTATACATACAACTAAAATAAGAATTGAAAAACAAAACAATAAAATTAATAAATAGTAATTATAAAAAAAAAAGAAGAAAAACACACTTAAGCAACAATAAAAAGAAGAAAAAATACATTGTAAGAATTATATGAGGAGTTGGTCGGGGAATGCGGTCAAATATGTATGTGTTCTTTTTTTTATTTGTTTTTGGGTTGTTTTGTTCTTATTTATTGTATATATATATATATTATTTTTCTGTATAATTTATTTTATTTATTGTACATAGAGTGTGAATATGATCTCTGAGCACTATTATAAATGTCCTTGAGACAGATTGTAATATTTTTCAATAAATAAGTTAAAATTGCACGAATTAGAGTGCTACCAGCGGGTAGGTAAAGTGTTTTCATGTTTTTATTTTCTGTTATCCCATTTACTTAATGTATTCTTTCTTAATACAGTTATTAATATCATAAATTAAAAAAAAAATTGTACAAATTATAAATAATATTTTGAAAATTTAGTATTTATTTGACTGCACCTCCCTAACAACTCCTTCACATATTATATCATCACTATAAGAATTATAAAAAATAATAATGAATAATTGCAAATCATTCATTTATTATCATTGCTCAATCGAAATAATTAATACAGGTTAGTAAATGTATATAGAATAAAAACTATATAGGCAGAAATTGATGGATTAGATAAGAGATTGGCGAGATGTATGCAATGCCGCAATTCGCATTCATCTTACCTTCACTTTAAAATAGACATGGAAATGCATGAGCCGACCTTGACGGTACCTAACCTAAGGATAGCCGATGCCTGCATTTAAATCTCCAATCAGTCACCATCATTCTCCTCTAACCATATATCAACGTCTGCAGTTTTTTTTATATGCACTCATGGTGGGTTTTTGTATTGTCAACTGAGCTTAAAATATTCCGTTTGCGCGAAATATTATACAGCTTGGATATGAATAAATTTATTTCAAGTGTTACCCGTTTATATGATATAAGATGGTGAAATCGATACCGATTATAGGACGCTCACTAAGATCGGCTATCCGGTTAGCTTTATCATCCATGCAATTATCAGATTTATGATCCATCAAAAATTTTGTGTATTCCCATCATATAATAGTAAACTTTATTTAACTTATGTATACAATCGATATTCAATATGGTTTCAAAGTTGTGGTTATCAGAAGATTCTGAGATGAAGTTTTGAAGGAATTTTTGTCTATAGTCATTGTATGCTGGGCAGTGAAGGAGAATTTGATGTTGACTATTGTAGATAAATTGACTGCATGATATACAAGTCTCTTGAGACTTGATCAAAAAAGTTGGGCTTTTTGCATAGATTCTGATATGTTCTGGGTTCGCAACTCTTAATTTTGACAGACACATCTCAATTTCTTTATATGGACTTTGAATGCAAGGTACGTGTTTCTAATATTATGTCTCATATAATTTATGATATTATGTGTACATCTTATGCTCGTATACAACTAGTGAAATTAGAAAACTAAACTACAGAATTTAGCATAAATGATTATTAAAAAAAAAGTATAGAAACAATAGTACCTGCAAGAAGAAAGAACAATAAAAAAATAGTAAGGTAGAAGATAAAATGAAACACGATCAATAATAATAATAATAAGGCATAGTAATATCATAACTACTTTTTAAAATATAATTACCTTCACTATATAATACACTATTTACCTAGACTAATCCTTGAATAATTTCTATTGTGAGAATCAAAATAATTTCTTATGATAAATCCTTATTTTAAAGAAAAAAAAATTAAACATTACGTCGAGCTTTTTCTTTTTTTTTTTTACAATGGAGTAATATTTTACCTATGTAAAATTCCATGCATGACTCACTGGGAATGAATCATTCTTTGCTATAAAAGTTAGCATTCTCGTAGCTTTTCCAATGCAAAGGAAATATTATATTGAAGGTCAAAGTCTAACATTAAAGTGAGTTTTCATCACGTTCGGTTTCTATGAGGTTACGTAGTGCATTTAGAGATTAAAATTCATATGGAGACGTAATTTCTACTTATTAATCAAACATTAATTCTGAACAACTTTGTAACACCGTCCACATAATAAAACTACAAGAGGAAAAAAGCCGATATGGTATTCATTTTTAAATATTAAGGTTGGTTTATTTGACTTAATTTAATGATATAAAACGCCTTCAGAAATTAAGATATACTTTTTAATTCTTATTCAGTTTCGAAAAAACTGTTTTTTTTGTTTCTAAAAACATGCATAGCCACAACCTTTTGCCATTGTTCAACAATTAACTCAATGTAGCTCTCTGTTAGTTATGTTTCTTTGTCGATATATGAGGGAGTGGAGTAGCTTAGTGAGTAGAGCACTGACTTCCAAGGTTCAAGATTCACGGTCCGAATCCGGCCAATGGCAGATAAATATTTATTCAGTTTCATTAGCTGTGGATCGGCCCTGGGGTCTTGGAACCCTCTAGGGGCATACGTAGTCTCTACGAAAATTGGTACTTTTAAATAATTAAGAGGGAAAACATGGTGGTTGATCCTGTAAACACATCCTTGCACAACCTTCGATCAATAAACAGTGTTTGCATACAGATTACTGATCCCTTGACTCTTCATGGGCTGTAGTGATAAAGGTTTTTGTCGATCTACGATCTGTAACTGTAACTCTCAACTACCGTAATTTTGCCTGGTCAGAAAACTGATTTCTTATCCAGGATTTTCACATGTGTAAGAACAGTATTTGTGTATTCATGTACAACTTTCCAAAACCATCAAATTCGAAAACAATTAGAGCATATCATTCCATTTCGATAATTTTCAATTACATTCATAGATAACCTACCTAGATTTATGACGTACAAATGACATCCCGTTTAAATTGGACGACACCATTAAAGCAACTCCTCCATTAGAAATAAATCGAGCAGGTGTGTACTGAAGATGACGTTCGGATCGGGCACGAAAGCTGAGACGAAACACCGACTATTGACACTTCAAGAATGACCTACTGACTTTTATCAAACTGATTGACTTTGATAAAATATGACAGACATAATAAGGGCAGATCAACAATCTCACTCTGTTAATTTATATTATATTTTCATAATTTATAACTATATATAACGATGTCACCGAAATTCTTTCTTCCTACAATCGCATCAATTACCCTTGAAAATCACCTCCACGACCTTGAAAAATGGCTACACAAATGAAAAATCAAACTAATGGCATTAAGTCAAGTCACGATTGCTTCTTCTTGAGAAAGATTTCTTGCCCAGCTGCACTCCATAGACAACAAGCCAGTTCCCTCAAAAAGTCATGTAAGGAATCTTGGACTGTAATTGAACTTTCAGTTCAATCTGGAACATGCATGCTAAATTTTAACAAACATGAACTAACCTGATGATACAAACAACTGTCGCAGATCTTAATCCACAAACCTCCATTCAATTTACAAAAGAAGCGACTAATCTACACTGCTATACAAAGACCTGTTAGGACATACGGAGCAGTACTTAGGAGTTCCGCAAAACACATCCACATAAACAAAATCCTAACTGCTTAATCCAAAATATTTCGAAAAATCGTAAATTCACCTTGGTTAATTTCAAATTACACCACCGACATGGACATACTAACAGAAAAATCATACATGCATACGAAATACACAACATTCCACTCTTCAACTGTTCATCCCACAAATCGACTTGTCCTCTCTTTTACTTCATTCCCGTTACCTGTAGAGTCTCAATGAAGACATAAAGGCAGTGGCCTAGAAATCTGTTCACAATATAAATAATTATCAAGAATTTAAAAATAAGAAGACAGACCGAACGGAAGCACATTTGCTAGATACTTTTCAACGCAGTTGAAATATAAAAATAAAAAAATTAACAACTTGTATTATCGACTTATCGATTAGCTAAGGATACTTCTTGAATTTACTTACGAATTTAATAAAACAGGAACCAACATGCGAAACTATCAACTGCTTATTATTAATAAAATAAGCAGTCAATATAAAATTAACTACATATTAACGAATAAAATATTACAAAATAACTTTATGACACAGGTGACTGTGTGCATGTTACATACAATACATGCACAACATTCAGGTTCCATAAGTAAACATATAATTTAAAATAAGATTTGATCCGCTACTACTACTTTACTTTGTGCTTCTTATTGCTAATTTGCTGTTAGTTCATACTTTTTGGTACCAGTGTTTGCGTAAAAATGGCTATGTAAGGTATGAGAGGTATTAAGAAACTTCAAGCTTTGTCCCTTATTGATGAAGGAGAATCACTAAAACCACAAATGATTAAGAAGCCGGTAAAAAATCGGTTATAAATTGAATAAGAAATAAAATGGGAATAAATTGAAGATTTTTAGGGCCAAAATGAAGACTGAGTATTTACAGATTATGGCGAACTCCGTTTAATCAGTACTTAAACAGCGATGTCGAAAAAGGTACAGTCTGCATACCTAAGGAAGATATCGTGGGATTATTGCAAAAAGACATTAAGTGACACTTCGCAAACTTAAATTAATAAGAAATTAAATTAAATTTTTCCCTTTGTGAAATCGTAAATTTGTCCGCTTGTTGTAGCTACATTTGATGAATGAAGAATTTGTCATTATAGTACACATACTTACTTACTTCGCCGGCACTACAATCTAAGGTTGACTTAGGCCTCCTGTGTGGGTTTCGAAACTGTTGAAGTAGGGTATTTGGCCCGACGCTAAACTCTTTCCAGGAGGACCAGGAGCTTTGATTTTGGAGTGTCCTTTTCCCAGGAGATTGCCTTCGCTGCGACTATAGAGTTCCTCCTACCCTTTTGCAGTAGACATCTAACTTGTCTATGTGGCTGCCGTTAACCCCTGTTGAGTTCTGCCGCCACCACTCCATAGGTTTAAGTCCTGTTGCCGACTTTTACTACTTTAGTTAATAATAACCAGAGCATCCATGTTTGATCGCTGACTCTGATCAGAGTTACTCAGCTTAACAGAGTCCGCCACGAGAAGGTGAGAGCTGAGTTGAGGTGTAAAGGCTCTGGGAGAAGCGTACACACCCTCTTAGAACTCTTATACTACACTTAATGTGTATTTTATTTACTAATAAATTTGAAATTCACAAAAATCTTTCTTGGAACATGGGATCTACCACATTTTACTCGAAGATTTTTTGACATAATCTGACCATCAAAAGAACTAAAATAATTTTATAATTACGTAGGCTCTACAATCCTTGCTTTATTTTTTAAGGTTTATTCTCATTTTATCAAAATTATATTTTTTATTTTCTACCAATTACAATTTGAGAAAAGAACCTGAAAGGAAGATCTCCACCACGAACCACAAATAATAAATTCGAAATAGAAAGGTACGCTAATGGGTACTACATTCTATCAACTTCCTCTTAATATTCAGTGCTACACCAGACAATTCACTGATTGTCGGTATTTGTTGTGAAAGGTGTGAGTTTGAAAAAGTAAGAAAAAAACATTTATTAATAAGATATGTTTTATTCAAGTACTTTGTAAATAATTAACTCAGAGTTTAGTCGCTATCTTGATTTTTTTTTTTTAAGTGTTGCTTAAGCTTAAGCTCTTGTAGTAGTTATTTTTAAGTTATTTACTCGATTTATTCGTAATTGCTTTAAATTCTTAACAATAAAGTAATTGACCACATTAGGGTTTTGGCTAAAAATATTGTGAGTATGTAGTGCAACTTTAAATAAGACACATTTCTATTATTGGGATACCTTGACTTTGGAATGAGGTCGTCATAGTTGTTATATATACAATTAATTATACATTTATGTTGATACACAAATGTGCTGCTCTAACGCATTTGACATGACATAGTAGTATTACTGTTTTAGCTTATAGGTTAATGTTAATTCGTATTCCGGTCTCGGTGTGAATGCACCATGTACCCGATTACGCCTACACGAGCCCGGTATTGGCAAACGTTGTAGCTACATGGCTATGGTTGAAGCGGACACCGTCGCAGCATTACACGGCGATACGGCGGAGTCGATGAACGATCGGCTACCTATTACCATTCAGGAGGAGTGAGGTCTCCCAAGAACTGGTCTCCCGAGGGGCAGGTGGAAGTGGCTGGAAATAATAACAAAAAGAGTCTTAAAAAAAAGGTTTTGGTTAGTCTATCCAGAACCGGTCTGTCCCTCCAACCTATCCAGTTTCTTACTCGTTTTTTATCCTAGCGACCATCCCATACCCTTGGGAACTAGCAGCCCACTCTGCCTGAGATCTCTTCCGCATATGGACCAAGCAGCGGAGATTCTTGGAGGGCATCTTACCAAAATATGATGTTTGAGATGTTGAAGGAATTTAATTAGTTTTTATAGAGCTCTACTTTCAAAAAAAAAAAAAAAGGAAGAAGAAAAGAAATCTACACACACCACGCTACGTATCAAACTAAACAATTCACACATTTCTATCCACCACCATAAATAACTTATACAGAAGTATTTCTTTCTTCGTGTTATTTTTAAATCCGAGATTATGGTTTAAAAGTAACGATTAAGATGGCATTAGCCGAATTCTATTTTATTTATTTAATTTTCTTAAAGACCATAATAGTATATAAAGTCAAATCACAATAACTCTGAGAGAAACAAGAATAACCAGATACGCTTCATCGTAGAAGTAAATAAACAAGGAAATATATTTTATGTAAAGAGAAATGGACGTAGTCTTCTTCCAAAAATATTATTTATGCACATTAATTACGTTATGGTAAAAATAATTCAAAATATTCAATTACAAATATTATATTGGACAAGAAATTAATTAAAAAACAAATAAATATAATATAATCATTTAATAAAAAGAGAGAATACTACTAATATTAGTGTTACCTAAATGCGAGACCGAGGCGGGTCTTGGTCTTGCAAACTCAGTCGTGGTCATGGTTTTAGTTACTTATCAGCTTACTACTGTAGAGATATTACTGTAATTGTTTTGTTTTTTTATTTCTTTATGACATTTACAACTGTATTACATAAATACATCAAGTAAATTTGGACATAATTGATATAATGACATGAATACACTTGCTGAGTAACTACCCAATGATAGCACTTTAATGATATGACTACATTAGGAGATCACGGGGCCATCTTCTTTTCAGACGCCTCGGAGGGTTATCAGGAATTGAAGAGGAAGCATGGTTAGAAACGAGAGGGTTGGGATGATTCTGAAGTTTATTATGGAAGGATTGGTATCTGGATTGGGCCAGATCTGAAACATAAGGAACATTAATATCTTTATGGATAATTTTATTAGTGACAAAGTAAGGAGCATTGAGGATTTTACGAAGGATTTTGGATTGTAAGGATTGGATGCGAGAGGAATTCGATGGTTTAGTGGAGCCCCATAGCTCAACTCCGTAAGTCCAAATAGGTCTTATTATAGTCAAGTATATGAGTCTTTTGTAATTAATGGGAAGTTTAGAGCGTGTGTCTAGTAAGTGCTGAAGTAATCGGAAACGTCTAGCGGTTTCTTGTCGTTTCAGTCTAGTATGAGGATTCCAAGTTAGTCGTTTGTCCAGGTGGAGTCCTAGGTATCGGATTTGCATACCGGACAGGGATAAGTGGAGTATTGTTAAAGGAAACTGTAGGACAGGAAGTCGTTGGTTTACGACGACTGTAATTGTTTAGATAGGAGAAACCTAACTAAGCAAGAATGAAGAATTAGAGGAGTTAAGTGCAAAAGTATATTGGTTATACCAATTATTTACATATAGTAACTAAGATTGTCAAGTATTAATAACTATTTTGCCTAAATTTTCATTCAAAACATGGATTTTATTTACCATTCCTGGTCTTGGTCTTGCAACAGTTAGGCGACCTTGGTTTTGGCAACACTATTTTACAGTACTATCCAACAATATTGTTGAACATTATAAATAAAATATTTATAATACCATTACGAACATATTTTTGCCAGTTTAACTAAAATAAGATTGAACAAATTATAAAGCATATTAAAAAATATCATAAAAAGTATTATCAACTATTTGCCTTAATTTGTATTCGAAAAATCGATGATTTTTTTTTTTACCAGTCCTTGTCTTGGTTTTGCAAAAGTTAGGCGGGCTTGGTCTTGGTCCTGGAAAGTGCAAGACCAAGACCTATTTTGGGCAACACTAATATACTACGGGAACGTATGCAATAGTTTTTTATATACTAAAACATAGTCTTTAATAAAGTTTATGTGCCTTATACATACAGCCTACAGATATAAATCATATTACAACAATATGGTAAGTAGCTAATATTTTTTTATTTTTTTTTTTTAGCATAAGTGGCAAAATATGATTTTTCAATTTTAGTTTACATGAAATTTTAAATTTACTTGTATTTTGCCTATTTAGGGTTTGAGAGTAGCAAGAAAATGTAAAGCCATCTATCTATTTATTACAGAATAAACATTGTTTTTTACTTAATCTTTCTTTTTTATATAGATGTTACAGTAGTTTCGAGCGGCAAAATTGTTGTTAAGTCATCAACAACAACATTTTTTTTAATTTTTTATTTACGAGGTATTTAATTTTTTTTTTTTTTTTTTTGTTGTTGTTAGGATCATAAATAAACAGTACAAAAAATCCAATTCCATTTTTATTAGCAGCATTGTTTTATTTTGCATACAGCTTTAAGCAAGTGCCGCAACGTAATAATCAGAGTTGGAGTGTTACAATTCATTATTTGGGGCCTCGGAGAAATAAATATTAGTGAGTCAAGGTGAGAATAAAAAAAAACACTAAGTTCAGAAAGTATTCTAGTACTGTTGTCCCAACGCGCTGTCCTCTGAAGTACCTGATTCTCTGGCAGCTGGGATCCCACGTGGAATGGGTCCGAAAGAGTAGGAAGTTGGTGGATCCATCAATAGATATCATAACTATATTTACAACACCAAGACTAGTAACAGAATTCAATCAAGGAATGGAAGGGATCTCCTTGGCAGAATTCAATTGGTGTTTCTAATGAAGCTATGGCATTTATATAGCCTTAATATAATACAAGGTTTCTTTGTCCTTAATTGATAAACTCTGGGAGGTGACCAATTTTGTGTTTTTTTCTTAACTTACAATTAGTCACGGTTTTTGTTACAGGAATTGTTCAAAAACTGTTCAAGATTATTAAATTCAAAGCACACCAGTGCAAAGTAGATAACATTTTTTTGATAAACAATGATTAAATTTACTAAGGTCAATGATAAAAGGGACTTTTAGGAGGTCAACTACGGCCGATGTACTTCTGCTAGTATATAAACACGATCGACTGATCTCTGTACAGCGGCCGTATTAGACCTCCTGAAAGTTCCATTTATCATTTACCTTTAGAGAGAAAAACAAACCCTAGATAATGTGTTTTTCATTATATTTGGCTATAAAATATATAAGATAACTGATTAGGACGAGGATGATATAATGAAATGATCATTATATCCTAGAGGCGGTTAATAATACTACTGACTGTAAGAATCGCAAATCGCCTTGATATCCCTTGGCCATCATTAATGGAATGCCCGTTATCCTGGCGCTACCAGTTTCTTGATCTTCCAGGACATAGAAGTCGCCTACCGAACGGTTCTGCAAGTGGGACATGTGCGGCCGTTGCGGTTAAGCCTGCATTTCCTCTCTCATTTGAGGTCGGCACTTCCTCTACATTCCTCTGCAGTCCCGTGACATATCCTGTACCTCAATGGTGGAACGCAGTTCCCACAGAAAGACCTGGCAGCCACCACAGCTGCGGATTTCCTTTGACTGGAGTGGACTGCTGTCTTCTAAATAAAATAAGGTTTTCGACTTGAATGGTTTATTTTCATTGTATTTAAGACATTTTAAGCTAATGATAGGATAGAAACACTGATTTAATATTGCAATACTATGATCTTAATTCCCTATAACCACTTTCTAAGCGACAGATTTACTATTCAATAAATGAATAAAATTATATTGTTATGAGGTTTATATTTTAATAATAGATTACTAGCATTTCCCTTGTGAACTCTCCTTCTGCGTAATACATTCGAGGCATAAGTGATAGCAATGAAACATGTTTTTTATATATATGTCTATGTGTATATTATATATATATATATATATATATATATATATTTAAACATAACCATTTAATTGGGAATATATATATATATGTATATGTATATATATATGTATGTATATATGTATGTGTCTATTTGCAATATATCAAGATTGCAATAAAAGATGGTCTATGTAATTCACACCATTGCTCAAGCTTTATACTTTAGTACGATTCTTAAAGTAACAATTTACTTAATAAGCCATAAATAGATTGCTCCAATGGAAACTATTCTTTCAGTTTAATAGTCAAGCTATAAGATACGTCTATTCCTAAATTTTTAGTAAGTAATCCAATATTGTAATCGCTAAAGATCTATTTGTTTGGTGCATAAGAGCTTTTTTTTTATTTGTCAATCGTGGATTGGTCTCACTTACGAGTATAGAAGTAAGTCTATTACGGGAAAAAAGTATGAAGGTGGTTTTTATGAATTTTATATTTTTATTTAATGCTGTGTCAAGTTTCATTTATTATGTTTTATTTTTATTTTATTATAATATTTCTGTTATTTTTGTTACTTCATATATGTTATGATTGACTCTCACACAGCTCTAATACGGAATGTCCTTAGGCGAGGACATTCTTAATAAATAAAATAAAAAATCTGAATGTACTGCAGTACCTGGATATTTTTCAAAAATGTCATAAAGTTTCTTTCTATATTAACCAATATTTTCTATTTTCAATATATTTTTAGTTTATCGAAGAAACTGGCGGGTCTATGGGAGTGGAGGAGGGGAAGGAGAAAGGACTTTTGGACTGAAGCTCCTTCCAAAATGGAAAAATATAGTCATTCCTTATGAAAAAAATTATATCTAAAAGTATTGCTGTTCGTGTACTTAAATTTTAACAGGACTTCCAGAATCACTTAAACTCCATTTCATATAGTTTGATAGTTATTTTATTTTTCTTCCAAAGTATAGTTTTGTATATGAGCCTTTCAGTTGAAAGAATGAATAACTCCAATTTCAACCTTTTTTATCCTCAACTATAGTGATGTTTCCAGTGAGAAAATTTGTACCTTTATTCACAGTTCTATATTTCAACACTTCAATCACCCACCCTGGAATCAACTTACTCACTGCCTGTACAGATATTAATTGTCCAACTAGAAATATCACTAAAATGGCCTAACTCAAAAATGCTGAAACAAGAGTTTGTCATTCTGTCAACTGAAAGGCACAAATATAAAAAGATTTCGGGTTGAAGCCTACCCCAAAATAAAATGCTGAATCCGCTGCTGATCGAAGACCATGAGAAGTAATAAAATTTTAATTTTTAAAACCAAAACGCGTGATAAGAATCTAATGGTAACCACAGCCTGAGAGGCTGTCGGCAAGAATTTCAATTTATCTCGAAAATGACACATTGTAGAGCTTTAAACCGTAAAGTCTGCTTCGAAATCTTTTATGAAAGCTTCTAATTTTCCAATGAGTTTTTATTGTAGTTTTAGTGAAGTTTGACGTTTTGAAATTGGGATGCGTCACTTTTCCCTAAAATTGCTTAAAAGAAAATAGTCCTTTTTATTTTAATAATAATTCTTCTGGAACAAACTTGACCTGCCGCATTCAAAGGAAACAGTAACTTTACCGATGCTTATGAAACAGCTCATACAATTTAAACTTCATTCATTAAAACGCATCACGCAAGAAAGCCAGAAAAGGAATCTATACTACAGTGCCAGCCTTAGACGTTCGGTACCCCCGAGAAATGACGTCATTCCTCTCTCTTGAAAATATTATATGTATTTCTTAAGCTGTTTTATATTATGTAATATTTGAATTTTATTTCATTCAACATTTCTCTAATATAGTTACTTTATTGATAGGTTGAAATCAATTGTTTTAATACTTTGTTTTTATTTCTTACAATTGTCGAGCGCCCCTGAAGATCTCCCGGCGCCCCCAACAGGCGCCCCTCCTGGTCGGCACCCCAGTACAATTACTCCGGTTGTTTTACCCTTAGGCCGGCACTGCTATACTACCTACATATAATACATATAATGTTATTTTTATTCTAAATTATTCAAAAATGGAATATGAACCTACAATAAGAAAGTAGTTTTTTTATACTTTCACTTACGAACTCGGAACTATTTTTCATCGTTGTCTCATGTGTCAGGTTAAAGGCGGTGCTGTGCACACTCGTTAGCCCACTCGGCCACCTCGCCCACAACACTTACATATATAGGAAATATATAGCAAAGGAAAGTATGGCGATCGTAAAAATTTTTTAATCTCAGTTTTCAACGGAAATACATGTTTTGAGGTCCTCTGATTCCAAATAACCAAGTACCTCCAAATGGTCTGTGTGTGTGTGTGTGTGTGTGTTTTAAAAGTCTAGCTCAAAAATTAAAAGTCGTACGAAAGTTAAATTGCATATTTAAGGGTTTTATATGCTAGGTATGTTACAGCAACTTTTTGGTCAAAATGGGCTAACCGGAAGTGACACTTTATATGATGGACTAAACATATTTTTACGATTTTAACGAAAATGGTTCAAAAGATTTTGATTAAATTCTCCATATCAGTGTAAAATGAAGCAATTTTAAATAAAATGTAGTCTTTATTCTGATTGATGTTCTCTAGCAGGGCTTAAATGGCTAATTTTCAATATTAGTTTCTCCTAAAGTAACTTTATTTTTTTTATTTGAAAAAATAGACTATTTCACACTAATCTTTAATATAATAGATAGTTAAATATAAAATATGAAAGCATTTGATAATTAACTAAAAGAGAAATAAGAGGTGGTAACGGAGAATAGTTGTAATTGAGGAAGGAATACGAGCGGCTCGCCCGAAAGATTAGAACACGCTTTCATACGTAACATGAGCTTAATATAATACGGACTCCGACAATTATATAAATATACATATGTGATTTTCATAAATGCTATTGTTGGTATTATTTAATATTTAATTGTATAGATCACAGCTACATAAATATTAAAATTTGTATATATAAGAGTACTTATACAAATAAAAATACCCACAATGAAATATATATAAATAAAGCGTCTATAAATTTTTACTTTAACTACTCCTCTGTCTTAAAACCCTTTTCCGCTAAGATGATAGTGGTAAGTAGAAGTTGTGTGATGCGCGCACTGCACCAGATTTTTATTTTAGTAATATTTTTTCTCGAGCGAACTTGACCTACCGCATTCAAAGGAAACGGTAACTTTACCGATGCTTATAAAACAGCTCATACAATTTAAATTTTCTAGCTGCATTGAGATAGCCGGCGCATAAGGAAGTACCCGAGGTGGGACTTGAAGGCAGGGCTAGTTCTCAAGCTTGATATTCATCCGCATTATTCTATTGGGATCTGATCAGCATCCTGGGTGATAGGATACGGGGGGGGAGGGGAGAAAGGGAAGATAGGGAGACAGGTTGGCCCGGGAGGGTCCCGGCTACCGGAAATCTCATTACTTTTATAGCAATGCTAAAATGTCAAGGAACTTATCATCAAGTAGTGGCGAGCTTTTATCCTTTCTTATTTGTCACTCATGGATTAAAGCAACGTCAGATTTAAATTATTTGCTCTAATTTACGCACATATTATTGGCCGTATAAAAGTTTTTGGATCCAATGGACTCTATAATATAAAGATCTATTTATAATACCAAGAAATATTTTTTATTCAAAGTCATTGAAATCCCGAAAAATCTCAAGATAATTTCAAATTAAGAGTGTACAATTCTACGATGAAGGCAATGAAGGAAAAATCCTCCGCACGATAACCGGAGTAACGATCTGGGATCAGAATATTAACACTTGGAGGCGAGGGGCCAATAAAGAACTGCTTACAGAAACTAGTCCATCAATACCTTGTGACATAAAAGCAAGGAAGTGAAGATGGCCGGGGCGTATAGCTCGGACCAATTCATCTTGAAGCTTCTACACAACAATGAATATCTATAAACATTAGTAGGCAAAAAAACATGTAAAATGACAAAAAATATAAGGATAGATCGAATCGACAACGATGCTCCTGGGATGCCAACCATAATATCAAAAGAAAACAAATACATAGATTTCATTGTTACGAGATCATTACATGATTTCAGTGTCGTCCGTCATCAGTGTGTCCAAGAGGTTTGAAGAATCCCTGTATATAGTACTGTATATAATATAGTACAATTATATATGTGGGTGGATATAACAAACAAACAAAATTGTTTGGAATTTCATTCAAAATTTCTTGTCTCGACTTTCAAACGATAGTCCTGATAATGACCCACATGTTTGGGTCGAAATGTCGGCTAATCCATCAAAGAAATTTTGAGTTGAATTCCTGGCAAACTGTTGTTTCATGCTATATGCCCCACAGTTTTCAAATTGTTATGTCTTTGAAAATTATTTCAAGAAATTTTAAAAATTTCATCTAAATCTTTCCTATCACCCAAATTCATTTGACATAAGTGAAATCTATTCAGATCTATTTATTGCAGTAATCACACTAAAAGGAGAAAAAAGGAAGAATGATATAATGATACTTGTGGCACTAGATTCTACTCACATCCAGAGTGCTTGCTTTTATACATACCTCTCTGATGCATCATCCAGTGGATTTTGATATCTGAAAATGATGAGAAAGAAGTGATAGGATCTCATTGAGCTTTACTTTTTGCCTCTAAAGGATGACTGTGTACATTTATTCCATCACTAGTTGTGCTTGATAATTTATAATTGAAAATACAAGGTCGAA